TAACCACCAGCTGTTTCAGATGCCCTTAGAATTTCTGGATATATTTCAGGAAATTATCTAGAATAAAGAAAACCGAATGAGAAGTTAAAAAGAATTCAATGCACACAATCGCACGAATGGAGTCTGATTGCACGTTGAGATTTGTATTTAATGCTCTTATAAAAAAAAAAAAAGACATTTCGTATACTAAGCAGTCAAATTTGTTTCTGCATTTCTGCATGTTCTTATAGTGTTTGGCAATGGCGGATGATTGTTGTTGAAGTCCTTTTACACGATTATGTGAATGTCCGCGTGTGTAACACATATAACCCGCATCACATTTATTTATTTATTCATTTATTCTTTTTTTGTTGTGTATTAAATTTTTCTTCGCAAACTCCAAAAACAGATGTTTACCGAGTTTTATCCGTTTTGTCGTGAGATAACCTGATAAAAGCCACTGGTAAAATTTTTTTCCGGCTTGATTTCGCTGAGGGTTACAATATGCTCCAATGCCAAGACGTCTCTCTGTAACTAATTACTAAGTGCTGTGTGTTTCTAATGCAAAACCAACAAATTTAATAGAGCTGTCCTTACTCACCGCACATTGAATTGACAGTGCTGTGGACATTTTATCGGATTGAAGCCCCCTCATGTACTTATTCGTGAAGCTTACGATATGCGAGACTTAGTTGCCGCACGTAGAACTAGGTCTGCTTATATTGGGTCTTGACTGATTTTATAGCAGCGAATGTGCAATAGATTTTTCAACGTATTAAAAACCCTTTGAAGAAGATACCGTGTAATTGACTCGATGGCTCCTTGTTGACAAAGTCACCTCTATTTCTTTTTCCTTCACAAATGGACCAATGAGACTAGAGGCAATGTCTACCAGGTGCGATGCAATCTATTGCTTCATAACCCAAACACGGGAAAATCGCAATATTAGAAGACCTTGGTATTTCGCTGTATGATAAATCCTTTATTAACCACACTTGTGCGTTCAAAATGGCTGGACATTAAACTCGGTGTTTCTTTACATTTTTTTTAAGACCTCGGCTTCGTCTCGGTCCACTAGTGCGAAAAAAACAAATTAATAAATGAAGAAAAAGATAGACAACCTTTATAAAAATAACGACACATTTTAAACTAAACTTGTAAGACATGTTTCGGTCCTTCAACGACCATCTTCAGTCGAGAGTAGAACTGATTTTAAGTTACATTTAAATTTATAATAGAGAGCTTAAGCACCAGACGTTCTTGACAACACGAACGGCAGAGAAGCCGCGTAAGACTGGATCGAGGCCTTCGTTCTTGACGNGCCTTGCAAGTCTGTTCACAATCCTTCCCGCTACATAGCAGATGCATTTTGCATTGTTCTACCTGATCTTCGCATTTCTGTATTTTACACCCGCCTCCGCTACAATTCAATTCACATTTTTGTTTTGCCTTGCAAGTCTGTTCACAATCCTTCCCGCTACATAGCAGATGCATTGTGCACTGTTCTACCTGATCTTCGCATTTCTGTATTTTACACCCGCCTCCGCTACAATTCAATTCACATTTTTGTTTTGCCTTGCAAGTCTGTTCACAATCCTTCCCGCTACATAGCAGATGCATTGTGCACTGTTCTACCTGATCTTCGCATTTCTGTATTTTACACCCGCCTCCGCTACAATTCAATTCACATTTTTGTTTTGCCTTGCAAGTCTGTTCACAATCCTTCCCGCTACATAGCAGATGCATTGTGCACTGTTCTACCTGATCTTCGCATTTCTGTATTTTACACTCGTCTCCACAACAATTCAGATCACATGAACCAGCCTTGCAATGTTGTTCATTTTCGCTGCATTCCATCTCACAAAAATTATAACCATTGCTGCATTTCCAAAGAGGTTTACAATTCGATGTACATTTACTGGGATCACAAGCATCTTCGCTTCGCCCAAAACCTAAAAAAAAAAAAAAAAATACTTATAGTAATGATACTGATGACAATAGTTCTGACAATTATAAAGGGAAGCTAGCAGAAATCGCCAATTCATTCGCAGGCTAGGTACTGATTAATATAAACGCTAACAGACTGTTAGCATTTTTTTTTAAATGGAGGAGAATTATCACCTTTTATTATCCAACTGAACTCCGTGGAGTACAAATAACGCCATAGACGAGTACAAATATCACGCGGTCTTTGTACTCCAGATAACCAGTAAGACAGGTTTTCACGCATCGCGCAAGCGAATAATTGGATTGAAGTTACGAAAAAAAATGGGGGACTGTCTGAATCATATTATTGACGGTAAGGAGTCGGGATGGCTGGTAAAATGCAAATATAGATCCAAGTTTATCAGGCGAATCGAATGAAGAAAAACAGTTAGACAACCAGGAAATTTCTTCATTTATTGAAGAAAATAGAAACAGCAACACGACAACGCACCAATTCCGTTCCACTTTGCACGCTTCTGCCACGCACTCCCCGTAAATACATATCCGCGAATTTCGCCCGCACTGAAATAACAATTTGGCGTTTTGGATAATAAATAATTTATTAGACGTTTTGTTGTGAGGTGTCGCTGAGTATTTCTACACGTTATTAGTATTTTGACTTGCCTTACGGGCTCGTCAAATTACGGCAAAGCTCGTAAGAATAATTAGCGACACTACACAACAAAACGTCTAATAAGATATTTGTATTTCATCTGATATCGCATCATTAATATCATTCTTCTATGGTTCATGTTGCTGTTTGCAGGGATCGTCCTTAATAAGTTAAGGGGGTTAAGAGTGTGTTGTCCAACACAGGGTAGGATTGTAAGAGTATTTTTGTCCTATACAGGGTCAGGATTTGAAACCCTCAGCGGCACCACTATGCCCAAACAGCAGTCAAGTACCCCGCGGGGGGTATAATTTGACAAGAGAACAAATATACGCTGTCACTATGTTCAGAAATACATACACTTTTAAAGCCTCTTGGCAGCTGGCCCTCTTAAGATTATAGTGCAACGCTTAGTTCCCATATCGAATACTTTTTATATCAGGGATGTTGGGTATATCCTCGAGTATTCCTCAGTATTTCGAAATTCTATAACTGAATGGTGTTGGCTTTTCAAATATCGTTTATTAGAATGAATGCAAGGGGGAATTGAATCAATAATAATGTTAAAGCTAAAGATGTAAACGAAAACTGGACGAGGGAAAAGAAAAAGAAAAGGAAATCCGCCGGATCCTTTAAAAGAGGACTTGAAATCTTTTTCGTTGACCTACTGAGTGTGGCGGTATAAGGTTAATCCTTTTTAAGTATTTTTTTAATTAAAAAGTTGGGCCAAAACTGTCGCGACGCCATTTGCATGTTTGCGTCTGAGTTTCATATTTTCATGATAGACCCCTAAATTGAATCAGGCTTAAGGTCTGTAGCTCAGAAACACATTAGCATACTGGCCTATTGAGATTACTCCCCTAAAACATTTTTTCTTGGCCCTTCGAGGAAAGCCTGTGTGGTCAGCTCTCACAAAGGAGAAAGTAATTTAAAACCATTCTAAGTTCAACTGTCTCTGTTTTCTCCCAATATTTTCGAAGACTACTCGTCGGGCAGCCTTAAGTTCGACTCCTCAAAATACGCTTACGATACCTAATTAAGCTTTCAAACGAAGCTTTGGTACTCACTCAACAGAGTTATTGAAAACAGGACTGTTACCCACAACTTGAAACTTCTTGTCGTTGTCATTATTTTCCGTTGCGTGGATTGAGTTCCTGCAAGCTGAACTAAATGCAAATTGTGAGTGGCTATAGACCGGTCCAAAATATCCTTTGTAATTATAAATGCCAGGCTTCCGAGAATTCTCTTTTCAGAAATATATATATATATATAATCGCTCAGTACTGCCTGCTTCCACGTATGATGCAGGAAACTGAATGGAAGCTATTGACGTCGGCTCAAGAAATATAGAGAGTATGATATCAAAATTTCAAGAATATTCTTAGGTCGCATTTTTGAACTCTTTTAACAAATTAATACATGCGACACAATAGATGGCGAAAAACAATACAGTTTTGAATAATAAAGCCTTAGGTAAAAAAAAACTACTAAGTGGGACAGGTGTTAGTCATTTCAAACTCACTATTAACTACTGAGAGTAGTTAGTGTTTGTTTAGCACGTTCACATCGAATTACATTTTTTACGGATCTAGCATCTCATCACAGAAGTTGCTTCGAAACCGTGATCACGTCTCCAAATGAAATGTTCTGTCACAAATAGCTTTTTTTATCGTCGTTTTTTTCTAATGGCTCTCACTAGGTGGTCCAGAGCTGAACATCTTGCCTGCATATACCACGCACTACAAAGTGCTAGTGACAAAATATGTGACGTTTTTCATTTCTTAAAATGATCAATGGAAATAATAGCTCAACACCGTTTCATTTGTCGTTTGACTTTAAAACCGTGACGGACCTATGAATTTCGTCATACTTTCCTCATTAGACATCCTTAATATTAGTCTGTACATGTGGGGATCATAGTCACGCGGAGTATTTATTAGTCATCATTATTCAATGCAAACGGAATAAGGAGGGGGGGAGGACTTTAGGGCGGTCACACGGTTTTACGAGGGACTGAAAGGGCATCAGCAGTCGGCAAGAGAATGTGATGATGAGGATTACAGAAAAATGACTGCCAACGAGGGGTTACATAAAAAAAAAAAATTATAGAACCTTGTAAGAAATCAGATAAATTTCACCACAACACGACTAAAATCCTCCAGCCCCACTTCCCCTCCTTTTTCCATTGATAATTAATGACCGATCCCTAATCTGCGTATGAAGATCAACCTCTTGTCTCACAATGTTTGGCTATCCGATATGGATTGCAACGTTTAGAATACGTATAATATTTATACTTCCAAAGATCAACGCGGAAAACTTCAGGTTTACCCAGTCCCGACCTTATCGCTCAAGAATTCACACGGCAGGCATGTTTTATTCATAACGAAAATGACTATATGAAAGTATCCTACTGCGTTCATTGTGATCTGTAATTGTAACCTACATTTATAATAATAATTCGCTGTTTAAACACGAGCATGATAGTTCTAAATACTCTTCCGAGTAGCCGTTTTCTCCAAGGTAGACGGGTAAAT